GCTAGAGAAAATCAAATGTGACGTGGCTTGTTCTGTGAACATGTTTCATTGGCTGAGCATTTTTTGAACCGTTCGTAATACGTCGGTGAAAATGCAGATCTCAAAGTCCGTTGCTCGTTCGCCATTTCTTGCCGCGTAGCACAATTCTCTCGTAAACCTCATACTTTACCGCTGATTTATGTCATTGGTCCGGGAACTTCTTACCTTTCGTTAGCTATTTCCAGGATGACTGCGTATAATAACGATGAAAATTGTCAAAAAAAAATAGGACGGAAACGCCGTGGCGCTCAACGTCCTGCAGTCATCCGTACAACCAGTACTGGGAACACGGCTGAACTGTTTCGATTGTAAATCGTGAAGGGTTCCGATGTGCACATAAAATTGAAAAGTCAAACCTTTTCTCGTTATTTTTCACAGTCCCAGCAGTCTTAACTCACTGACAAGTCAAGCCCCACGACCTAATTCAACAACACGCTCTCTATTATTTGCGTCACCAATACCCTCCCACAATACTAATATGATGTCCAACGCAAACAAGAACCTATTGCCCACCCAAGCCGCCTCTGCCCCTGCAGTCCCACCTAGCGGTATGAAAAAGGAACGGAGACGCGCCAAGCGCAAGACATCTTCTTCCTCTTCCAGCAAGGACGAAGCCCCCATGTTCCTGCGCAAGGCCTTTCACATTGTCAACACATGTGATCCCACCGTTGCCGCTTGGAGCGAAGACGGTTATTCCTTTTACGTCAAGGATCAAGATCGTTTCGCGAGTGAAATCATTCCCAAATGTTTCAAGCACAACCACTTTTCCTCCTTTGTCCGCCAATTGAACTTTTACGGCTTTCGCAAGCTGCGAGAAGACCACGTTGAGCTGGACAATGTCGACGAGTCCAAATCCAAGTGGTGCCACTTTCGGCACCCCAAGTTTCAACGGGGGCGCCCGGACCTCTTGCGAGAGATTTCCAAAAACACCCACAAGGAGGTTGCGGAAAAGACCGAGCTTGATGCTCTGCGAGCTGAAGTCAAGGATCTAAAAGCTTTGGTCCAAACCATGAAGAAGGACATGGGTGTTTTGGCTACTCTGGTTGGTGACTTGAGCCACCAAACAAGGCTTCAAACAGCTACATCGACAACCACTTCTCAACCTCCCCTTAAGAAAATGCGACTGGAAGTTGAGCCTCTGAAGCCGGATATTGCCAAGTCAGCTATTCCTGCGGTTCCTGTCAAACCAGTTGCGTTTGGCGGTGAAAGAACGGCATCAGGACTTTCTGCCGTCACCTTCAACTCGGAAGATGAAGAGTTCATCACCTCTCTCTTCACAGAGGAAGGATTTGATGACACCTTGGACATTCCAGACGCCATTGTTTCCTAATCACCGGGATCAATCCACTGAATGGGCCTTGTCTAGAGGTTCTTTTCTTCCTTGCTTATTTACATTGCAATCCGACAATCCAAACAAATCCATGAAAACAAAAACAAAAAAAAAGTTTCTACCAAACTGAAAAAAAATGAAAGGATGTATGTGTGTTTTGCAGCCTGCCACAGTGAACATTAAAACGGCGCATTTGTGAACCATTTCACAATCTATGTGTAATGAATTGAAAATGAATCGAACTATGAAAACAATGTAACTTTTTAAACACTATTTTGCTACCAACTACAGTAATATTTTATTATACGACTCTTTATTTCAACTAGAAAGTACTCCCATGTCCACTTTTTATCTGCCATCCCCTCTAGAGCTTACTGTATATTCATTCTTTCAAGCAGTTTGCATAATACCAATAGAGTAGCCAATTGCTCTACGATTCATTGACAAAAGATCTCTCAAGGTGGCATCAAAGTTTTGAGGATTCACAACCTCACATGAATAACAGCTGCTGTCTGGGCAGTGAGTGAGTCAGATTGATGACGTCGACAATGACGCTCTGGTTCGCGTTTCATGTGTGGCTCGCACGAAACCTTCTCCATAAAAATGTCCACGTTTGAAACAAGTTCCCGTTTTAGTAACGGCAGTAAGTTTAGTAGTGATTTCGAATGTTTTTCCATGACTGACTCACTCATACCGTCATCCGGTAGGACTCTTCTTCGTTGTTTCCTTTCTAGTATTTTATACATATTCCTATTCTATCTCTAATAATAAAAAGAAGGCATGCAATGCAAAACCTCGCAATGATGGTAGAATAATAGCTACTTAGGCTTCGATTTCGACTTCTTCATTCATTCGTAGCGCCGCCATCATCTGTGCCACATCGTGTTGGTACCAATGCCGCCTTCCCGTCTTGTAATGGACGCAGAACTGCCGGTCCAACCAAAAGGCAGCTTCCATTTTCACAGCCAATTCAATACTTTCGTACATTAGTACCTTTTGATTGTTGGCCAATGGAACGACGCTGGTCTTTGGATGAGGAACCTGAGGTGGGAGGCACTTGTGCTCGTCAGGAGCGGAAGTAGGACGCATATGACGGCGCATCCACTTGGGAAGGCTGTTCTTGCCGCGGCCATTCAATGGTAGGATGGGAATCACATTCTTGACAAAGCGAGCTTGATACACGGTTTTTCCTTTGCTGTTGGTATAGGAATATATTTCCCAATCCTTGGGATTATCCAAAGAAATAGTGCTGGGTTTGGATTCACCATTTCCATCATCACCACCACCAGCAAGACCTTCTTGGACAAAGGTCTGATGAACTAGAGCCAGAATATTGGTGGATGGAAAGTCGCCCGCTCCAAGAGCTCCGGTTTGTGTTGTAGCAAACCATTGGGAAGAGTCTGAAATAATGTTATTGTCAAACACAATGTAATTCTGAAGCTTTGCATTGGATTTCTCCTTCTTGTCGCTAGGGGGTGGCGAACTTGGAATTTCCGATATTTCTCCTCTCTTGGGAGTGGAGCTCTTTGACGCTGGAGTCGTATTGGAGCGATTTGGTGTCTTGGGGGTTGCCTGCGGTGTTTTTCTTGGAGTAGCATTTCCAGTCACATTATTTCTGGTAGGGGTCGTAGCATTCCTCTTTGGCGTTCCATTCTGACGATTGGGTGTTTTCGGGCTCTTGGTTCGGCTGGGAGTAACAGCCCTTTTGCTGCTACTTCTACCAGGTGTTCTTGCCTCTTTACGTTCTGTCGTGCGCTGCTTGGCTTCGCGGCGCCATTTGGTAAGATTATCTTCCGTAAAAGCCTTGTCACCAAGCGATTCCCAAACAGTCATTTCGTACTCGTCGACATAGGAAAAGAGGTTGCACAGTGACAAAATCATATCTGGAAAGCAATGAAGTGTTTCGCCCATGTGATCACTAGCGTTGTGGAAAGCAATGGCGGTAGCGATGAGATCCTTCGAACGACCGCCATCGAACTCAAAATTTGGATTTTGAACTCCACGATCGGAAAGTAGCTGCTTTTGATCTTGCAACCATCGGAGAGCGGCATTGAATTGTCTCTTGTCCACTACACCAGGGTCTTTGCTGCCCGCAGTCTGCATGCCGCCCCATGTCACTTGCTGATTTGGTCGTAGTCCAAAAGTCAGCATTGATAACAATAGGAAGATTGGATTCGGTGGGAGCAATGTCATTCCTTCGACTTTGAGCATACCCCCCTTGATTTCAAGTGCATTTGAGCAACAGGCATAGAGCGGTCCAGTACTATTGCTTGCCGACGCCGACACTGTGTTCTCCTGTACAAACACTGGCCCAGTCATTCCCAGCCGTTCCCAACGCCTTGTCAGGTCTGTTTGTGCACGGTCAAGCTGGAAATCATCAGTATCCTCTGGATCCTTGCTCATTTTCTTTCCATCTGGACTCAGCTTTGTGAATCGCAACCTGTGCCCTCCGCGCCGTTGACCCGATGCTAGTACAGCAAGAAGACGTGCACCCTCCGGAGTATCCTTCAAGAGAGGGCGCTTCCAACTCGATTCAGCAGTGGTGCATGGCGTCGCAAAAAGATCCTTTCCACGCCCCTTGTACAGATATGGCTGGTTCTCTTGTTCATGAAAGCAAATCTTTGTTGTGCTGTCAGCTCGGACGATCATGAAGATATCAGGACTGCCTAGAAGATCTTGCAGGTCACGTTTCGAGATGGCTTGGCATGCCCCTCGAGCAATCAATGAAAAGGTCTGCTCTGTTGGTTGCGCTGTCCTTTTCTTCTTCTTCTTCCCTTTTCCAGCTAGGAAGCCCCAGTAAAAGAAAGACAGAACGTCGCCGCGTTTCATATTGTAATCCAATATGTCCAAAACCGATTCTGCAAAGTCCTTGGAAGGCCCTCGTAAATGAAGCCTTTGGTAAATCTTTTGCTTCACATCTGGTCCTTTTGCTCTCACCGCGCTCTCACTTCCAAAGTCAATCGTCCAAGCACCGCACTTTCTTTCCATCGATCCTTGACGTTTGATCCGAATGTCGTGTTCGGCAATAATGTGGTCCTTCTTGACATACTGTTCAAAGCCTTCAAATATCGAGTCACTTATTTCGTCGTACATCTTCTCAGAGCTCCTGAATAAGAAAAGATCTTTGTCGCTGTAGCAACAGACAAGGTCAACATTCATCTCAATCATGTACGAAACAAGCTTCTTCTGAAATTCTGGCATGAAACCATTCAAATCGAACCCTCCTTCATATTCAAAGTGGCCCATCTGTTCCAAATCAATGAAGCGAATGATATCATGTGGGTGCCTTTCGGGATTGAGGACTTGCTCCAAGTGAATCTCTTCAATATTCTGATTCTTTCCCTTCGGGATGTTAAGTGCCAGAGAGCCATCGTCACCCAGTCGATTTGATTTGCTAGGCCATGTTTCAACAATTGTATCTGAAAATACCCAGACTTGGAGGATTCGTAGAATGTTGATCTTTGCGTGAGGCATCAATACTGGTGGACTCTCAGGAAATAAAACTTCTTCGTTGATACCAAAGTACCTCGCTACTCGGGTCCGCAAACTGTTTCGAGTGCTTGCAAGCTGCTTCATTCGAGCAATAGCAATGCGGTAATGAAGGCACCACTTTGATTTATCAGGTGCCATATCGTAGTCATACAGTGCATTCATCAACGACATTGGTTCTGAGTACAGATTCGCGTCGAAATGACATCTTGCCACGTATCCAGTCGAGGTGATTTCATTGAACGCTGATGGGTCGTGAAACAAAGTGTTCGTGATTTGAAATGGCGTCTTGGGAAAAGACATCATCGCTGCCATTTCGATTGCTTCCGACGCAACTCCAAACTGAATACCAAGACCAATAAGTGAACCCAGTGCCAAGTCGATGCCCAACGAGGACACGAATGATCCCAGAGAAGTAATGTCCGCTACATCGTTCGGCTCCTCGATGAAGTTCGACCGATGTAAGCTCTCAAACGAACGGTCGATTGTATCCATACTCGGTGGCTCGATACAGTTGCCCAAGACAGGGATGACCTCCTCATGGAGCATTTCCTTCAGCATTAAGATGATGGAATCGAGCGGAACCCGGCTGATTTCACCTGGATCGAACTCGTCCATGAAGTTTTCGAAGACTTGTCTTGTGTACAAGCGATACACATTTCCTGGTCGCACTCTACCAGTTCGGCCAGCCCTCTGCTTGGCACTGGCTTGAGATATCCACATTGGCGCAAGCATTTGACGGTGGCTAACGGGATTGTATATGATCTGTCGACAAAGCCCAAGGCAAATGACGTGATCCACATTTGGCAGTGTAACAGAGCTCTCGGCCGCATTCGTGGCAATGATAATTTTGACTTCATCTTCGTCAGGTTCGTTGAAAGCTTCCATTTGTTCATCGAATGGAATATCGGAGTGAATGGGGCAAGTCGAATATCTTATTCCAGCCACGAAAAAATTTTCGACGCACTCGGTGATGGCAACAATCTCATTCATACCTATTCAATTGAAGAGACAAGGCGGTTAGCTTGAATGCGAATGGATGGGGGAAGGTATACAATGACGGCATACCTGGCACAAAGATGAGAACGGAAGTTCCCGGTTTACCAACAGTTTTGGCAATATGAGCTGCCAATGAGAAGCGTTTGGATAAGTCAGCTGCCGATGGGGCAGATTTGCATTTCTTTTTCTGACATTCATCAACGATTGCTTTTGCGGCCTTCATCTCGCTCGGAGGTAGTTTGAACCGGTTCAAATCTTCCACAAAGTAATCCGTGATGGGGAATGTACGGACGCCAACATGAATCGGATCATTGGGCACCTTGAAATACTCTTTGTAAAGCTTCGTCGCAAGAGTAGCACTCATCAAAACTAATCGGATCGTCTTGTTTCTCTCGAGCAAGCGACGGCACAAAAGGCACAAGATGTCTGTATCAACTGATCTCTCATGAACTTCGTCAATCATCAAGTGCGTACAGTCATCGAATTTCTCTGGGTGGTTTGCCAGCAGTCGTGTCAGATATCCTGTCGTTACAAACCACGCTTGGGTTTCGCGGGTTTCGTACTCCCTCCACCCATGACCCATGCGAATGGCAAACTTGTTACGATGTTCAGGTTCGCAACTGCGCACTCGTTCCACGAGACCCTTAGCAGCAATTCTGCAAAATAGAAAGCAAGATAAGAGAAATGATCCACGCCGCTGAATGCATTAGAATGAAAAGCAAACTTACCGTCTCGGCTGAGAAATGAAAAACTTGACGCTTGGCAAGCTCGGTTCTGGTGAAGGTGCATTCAGCAGCATCACGGGCACCCGACTACTTTTTCCGCAGCCAGTTTCTCCGTGAATAATAGTAACGCGGTTGTTGGCAATATTCTGAATGATGTTGTCCTCATGCGCATCAATGGGTAACACTTTTCGTTCCACAAACATTGGCTCCTCTGCTTCCTTCTCAACAGAATCTTCTGGGGGACTCTCGTAGCCACTTTCATCGGGTTCCTTGGAAGTTAAGATGCAGAGGAACCTGTAGTGGCTGAAGAGTGTGCTAGGCTGTGTCAGTCGGACCAACAGTGATGCTCGTGGAGACATCAAGATGACCGAAATACACTTTTCGATCATGTAGGATGCTCGGACGTTGTCCCAACGCGGTGGACGCTCCAGCTGGCTGGCTAATGCGCTTGTCGACGGTAACATAAGCTCGTCATAGGCATCCAAATGCTCCAGCGCAAGAATTGCAATTTCGCCCACAGGCGGTTCTGCACAAAACGACAGACACCGTCGGACTGTTTCACTGAGCGTGAGACCTTCCTGTAGCGCATTGTCAACCACATCAAATAAGTCGGCCGGCAAGTGAATCTTTAGGTGCTTAGTCATTTCTTCGTCTTCTTCCGATTTGAGCTGTCCAACGTCTGATGCATCCTGAAGTGGAAAGGAGTCCAACTCCTCCAAATTGTACAACGCTCGGACAAAGGCCAACTCGATTTCATAGTCATTGGATGACACCAGGAACCCCTCTTCTTGTTCACGTATATAATTAGCAACAGTTAGGGGATCCCCTTGGTCGGATCCTTTTTTCTTGGGCACCTTTACTGATTGAATGTAATCATTCCCGAGAAAGATTGCGAGTTCTGTCATTTCTTCATCTTCAATGCCAAGCAGCATTGCCAAATCTTTCCGCTGGCCAACACAGGCATGGATAGCATCATTTGCTGAAAAGATGCAATCGAACGAAATATATTGAATGTCCTTGTAGAAATAGAAATCGGAATCTTGCCCAAGCACAAATGCATTGGAATTCCCAGATGCCTTTCGGGCAAGTTCGACATCGGCTTCTTCATGGCAGTAGATCATATCCACATGCTCTTGATGCAGCGTCTTTCGAACGGATTGCATGAATAGACTAGGGACTGGAAAGTGCCGCAGAAAGTTCAAGATGCTTTTTTCGTTTGGTAACGATCCATGGTCACAGTACTGCTGAAAGTTGGACCACTCTTCCTGTCGTTGTTTCATTCGTTTTTGTGTCGTGACCGTCTTGAACCGCCGTTTCGGTCCATCCCAAAAGACTTGTACTTGAAGGTTACATAGTCTCAGGTGGGATGTAAACTCTCGTGTGACATCTTCAAGCCGATTCAGCGGCATCATGCATGGAAGAGCTTTGTTCAAATCGGTTGGTTTCAGCGCCTTGACTGGTGGAAACGAAGAATCACTGTTCATTTGACCTGGAAAGAGCGATTTGAGGTAGCGAGCATAGGAAACCTTGAATAGGTAAAAAGCAAGGCCGTTTCCATCAATCAAAATGGAGGATTGTGCTGGGATTCGTTGGATTGGCAATCCATGATACAAAAAGGATAAGGATGGATTCCAATCCTTCCAGAGTCGACAAGCAGAATCAACTTCTGCTTCTTCTGGACTTATGGGTACCCATCCTTGCTTTTGTAGTAAGCTTGTTATTCTATGTACACCCATTGGTTGGTGTAAATTGTACACCTGTATATTCTTCTTTTTTCTTTTTTATGTGGGTGGTGTGAGGATGCATTTTATTGCCAAGATTGCAAAGACGCGTCTGCGCGTTCTGATTGGACAATCCAAATCTAGAATTTTTCAAATCGTGTAGGAGGATCCACCGGTTGCACTGCAAGACGGAATAGTGGCGCTGCTGCGGTGGTTGGTGGTTGGTGGTACCGGGTACTCGGTACGGTACTTAGTAGTGTACCAGGTACAGTAGATAGGTAGCGGGTAGGTACCGCATGGGTAAAGAAGTTGAATACTTTTATAACACTATCGGTAGTACGAGGTATTATATTGATCACACTACTAGTAAAGGATCAGACGCCTACTTTGTAGAATACACAGCAGTCCCTGCCTACCTGGTACAATCTACTTCAGAACAATAATCTACCGTGCTGATCACCAATGTAATACTACGAAGGCAAAGAATTCAAATTATGCTGGTATGGAAGAAAATTTATTATTAATGGTGGCAAAAATAGTTACAAGCGGCGCATAGTCAAAACTCTTTAGAAACCTCTACAGTTCCTTATAGAGATGGGAGGGCAAAGCAGTTTGATCGATTGCTCCTGCCGTTGCTTCAGCATGTAGTTTCTTGTGCATTTGGGATACCCTCAAACCAAAGGAAGGGTCGGCAACACTACCAAGGTTGCTTTGCAATCCCGACAAAAGATTGAGTCCAGCATCACTGGCTCCAGTGCGGTAAAAGTTATTGAAATTGTTTTGAAGCATGTTTCTTCCCATTCCATTGAGAAGCATTTGCTGCAACTGCCCTTGGGTATTCATGCTGCTGCGTGCTTCTTCTTGCTCGTTCTGGAACATAAGTCTCCTCATTTCCGGGGCTCGTTGTCTCAGCGCTTGGCTGGTCTTTTCGCGGGCAAGAGTGTCGCCAATCTCGACCCACATGTTGGATTTGCCGTCCTTCTTGAGGAATCGGCCTCCAGTGTCGCGAATGATCTTTACAATAGCCCGCGAGATAGCTGGCTTATCGTTCTTCTTGGCCTTGAGGTATTCTCGTCGGTGTGTGTTGATGAGATCTCTAAAGGTGCGGTTTCCTGGGTGCACGTTGGTGCCTCCACCACGTCCACTCAAGACATCAGCGTCAGCGAATGTTGAGATTCCTTCAGAACTTGCAGGGATGCATGGATCATCCGCATGAGCATGGCCGAAAGCAGCGATAGAAGAACTCTTTGGCAGAGCTGGTTCTACCCTTTGCTTCTTGGCTGCCTTGCTTGGATAATCATCAAATTCAAGTTGATGCTTACCAGTCAATGGGATTGGATCACAATCGACAGTTTCACCAATTTGGTGATCGGCAGTGATCTTAGACATAATTGTCAGATCACTTCGTTGTTGGGCCATGACATTTTGTTGCAAGCGAGAAGCACCTTGATTCAAAGTACCAGCTCCTGTGTACAAAAAGGTCTTGGCAATTTCATCCTGAAGCTGAGTGTCGCTTAGGATGGTTTGGTTGAAAAGAGGTTGCATGCCGAACAAAGGGTTGGTAGAGCAAGTCATACTAACTGGTGTGTGTTGTGCTTCGGGCAAAATTGTTTTATGACCAAAATGTATTCCGTAGTATTTTTGAGAAACAGCGGGTCAAAGAATTGCACCTTAAGTGGCAAAATGTACGATCAAGGAAAGTTCGGATTCGGGTTTTGACCAGACTACGGAAGTGTCTTACCCACATGCATTCTACGTAGCAGACTGTTCTTCACGAGCACAAAGGGCCAAGCTTCCTCAGAGCTCCCTCTCTTCATCTCCCAGAATGCAAGCTAACATTTATTGGGTCATGTATCGTTAAATCAAATTAAAGACCTTCTCTAATAGGCTTCAGTTCTCCTTCAAGCGTTCGCTGCGCTCATCGTCGGAACGAGTTTAAGGAACAGTGAGTCTTTGGGGTGCTCCCATTTAATAATTCCGTTCCACGAGAACAAGTGCGATAAAGTGTACAACTATGTAACGGTGAGGGTATTCGGTAAATTTCGGATTACAGGTGCTGGTCATATGTAAGCGAGTTCGACGTGTTCCTTCGGCTGACACGTGGAGAGCTTCTCACAATTTGGGTTTGTTGGATCGCGGGATGTACATTGGTTCCGTATGGGTAGATGTACGGTACTTGAACAACTAGCAAAATTAGTTTTGATATATGTATACGGCTTACAAATTCGCTCGCTCATGACCGGTCAGCTCAGAATGTTTTCGTTTCAGCTCCAGTCCAGCTCAGTGACTTAATCACCCTCATTAAGTATTATTTACTTAGGGATACTATCACATGGTCGTCGTTCTTCAACACATACGGCGTCTTTTCGTGCTCAGACCAATTTGAGAGGAGCAAAACACCTCTTCAATGGGGCACAACAATTGTAGAGCCCAAGAAGAGGGCCAAAACTGCCATCCATCATCGACGCCAGTCATGAATCGGGTTCAAACCCAAAGAACCTTCTGTTGCCTTCGCTGGTTCGCGACGTAGGGAACAATGTGATGGGAAGGAGTTCTTGACTTCTGCTTTATTTTGAGAGTACAGGGGTACCAAACCCACAATCTATTACAAATGGCTTGAAATATGAAATTCGTGTATGTTTAATAACCGCATGGTGAGTCGAACTCAGAAGCCAACTCTAATGTCCATCAGACACCAATGGCTGTCACTCGCTCTAATCAGCTACGTGACCTCTTTTCGTTCCCGCCCAAGCACATGAGTTCTGGTTTTTGGTTTTTGCACCTTCTCGTTCTGATCGAAAGATACCATACTACGCACCATTGAGGACTGGCGGTATGGTTTTAGAGATCCCATACGGTACAATTCTTTTCCCTGCAAGGACGCTGTTCTGGTTCCCACAAACAATGCAAGGTTGTCTCTTGCAGCAAGGATAGCGCTTTCAGTGGCCTATACATAAAAAATAGAAGCGCTACTAGGTGCTACACAAAACGACCAATTGACTTCTATATAAAAGATTGGCGAAAGACGTGATCACTTTTCATGTCATTCGTAATTGTACTGGTACCACCAGTACAAATAAAGAACCTTAGCTATTTTGGCAATCCAAGTTCTCGTCTCGTATCTCTCGCATCTTCATGCAACGTTTCTGATATTTTTGTTTGGTTTTCACAGAAGCCCTTCTAAAGGAAGCTTCAATTTTTTCTAATAGAGGGAACCCAGATTTGGTTGCAGCACTTTTCAAAGATAGGATCTTAGAGAGAGTCATCGTCTTGCAAACAAGATGCATCGGCGTCTGGAGTTAGTTTGAGTTGGGTGGCATAGATTGGCGAATACACTGGGGTGTCAACACGGCCACGTGAAATTCGGTAGGAACTTCGTCGAGAAAGACGCATGGGCTGGTTACTATGGACCTCGCGAAGTGCTCGACGTCGCATGTGCTCCTCGTGAGCTTCCATTGCTTCGTCTTCTTCTTCCGCGCTGGAGGGATCCGAAGGTGCTTGGGTCCACTCACAAGACGACGCGTCCTCTTGGTTTGGAGGGAAAATTTCTGGATCGATGCCAGAGGCCTTCTTCTTCTTCTCGTCACGCTCTTTTTTCGGCTCTTCTTTAGCGTTATTGTTGCCTTTGTGTGCAGCTCGAGACTTGGAGGACATACGACGCTTGGCTTTTCCTTCTGTCATGTTGATGGCTTCAACATCGTTCTTAATTTTGGCTTCTGCAGCTGCTGCTGCGGCTCTTTTTGCTTTTTGTCGTCGCGCCATTGGATAGATAGGATATGGATATGAATTATTACAATGGTCTAATGATGGAATCTACTTCGATCGCAAATGTAGCTATCAGAACAACGTGCCAATGGCTTCGGATCTTCTTTTGATGGCTTCCTCCAAAACCGCGGCCAAACAAGGATGGGGGTCTCAAGTCGAACGAATCAATCCACACAGCGATCGTAGAACACTGTAGAAATTCTACGTCCAGCCATTTTTTTCAAATGTAGCTGTTGGGTTTGCGCGCCAGCCTGCTAAATCGACTGAAACGAACCGAAAGGAACCCGGAGAAAGCGTATCGCCAAAACCTCAATCCGACATTCATCTCCCAGGACCGCAACATTCCACCAACACCTGTACGTGTACGTGTACAACACTCCGACATCCAAGAAGGAGGAACAGCAACATCGTTAATACCAGTTTCTGTGACGGAGACGAAATCGTTTGTTAAAGAAGAACTTCCAAGCACCGATACAGACAATAAGTACAACGACAACAACGATGAGTGCGATAGACGAGTTTGAAGCCTTCAATTATGAGGCGGTGAGTGCACAAAATCCAGTGCGATGCATTATTGTTATGATTCCCCGTCTAATCTTGTGATTGCTTTTGCTTTGTAGCCAGGAGTCCTTATTTTCTTGGGAGGAATACTTCGGGGACCCCGGAGTGGGTTTGCAACAAGTTTCGCTGATGCCTTCTCAGATGATCTGGATACCCAACGAAGCTACGCAAGAGGTATCCTTTCCGTAGCGTACTTTTTCTTGGTACTTTTGGTTGTGTGGTCATTCGTCCTCATTGTCTTGAAGATCAAAGGTGACGAAGTTGGATGCGCTTCCGGATCAGCGTTTCACTTGGTTCAAATCGACAATGGCGAGGATGAGTTGCAGGAAACAGATTCTTCTTCCGGCGATGACAGCAATGGTAACAAATACGAGCCTACGGATGAACAAAGTAGATCAGGTGGTGGCGAAGGTGGTTACGAAGTCGCCCTATCTGACGCTGGATCAGACCTTTACGCCGAAAGCGAAATGCTCGAGGACCAGTCGAGCTGGGCTACAGAGCCAGAGAGAACACGTACGAATTATTCTCATTTTTCGAGGATGAAGGAAACTCCATTAGAACGCAAGACAAGGATGTGTTTTTTGCTTTGCAGCATAATTTCACTGTGTACTGTGCCATTCATTCTGGTGTTCTCCTTTGGGCCAATGAAGGAAGCCACTGAAGCCGCCAAACAAGCAGTATTGGTACGTATCTACCCAGAAACCCTACCCTGAGTGAATCTACCTTCGTCTTATCTTTGTTGACTATAAATAGGAAGCAGAAGATCTAATCGATTCGGTCTCGAGATCTTTCGGGTCCGTCGAGGAAGCTCGTTTGAGCTCACAAGCCATTCTCGATACCATGCCCCCAAGCCTTGTTGACATTTGCCCCAACATCAGAGCTAGTGAAATGGAAGTTGAGCTTGGAATCGATCTCGGCATTCTACTTGGAATCGTGTACGAGGATTATCGGGTTACCGCGAATCTTGTCGATGCGCGATTGAACTTTTTCTTCAATGCAATCGGTCAACTAGGGAATGGAAGCTCAGTCTTTAATGTCCATGTGACTGAGACCGAATCCATGATGTGGATGGTTCCAGGACTACTGTTCTCCATCAGTGTTCTAAGTGCAGCCGCAATGTTTGGTTCTCTTTTGGCTTGGAAAAAGAAATCTGGTCATCGTTTGCAAATGACCATGTCATACTTGGTGTTCCCATCTCTTATTATTGTTGCACTCGCATGCTGGGTAGTGGTTGCTCTTACCTCAATCGGTACCATGTTGACTTCTGGTAAGTTTTCTATCAATGGTGGAATGATTCTGAGAGTTTCACCTAACCTAGTTTTGCACTCGCGTATTCATAAACAGACATTTGTGCTCCAGACTCTCCCGTCCGTACCCCGGAGTCCACAGTCTACGAGCTTCTGTCCACCCGAAATAGGGATCAAAACGATACTGTTTACCAATTCGTTGACTTCTATGCCAGTGTAAGTTTTGCATCGCCTCTTAAGGTACGGAAACGATCCCGACCTCATATTCTTCGATCGTTGCATTTTTTAGGGATGCTCGGGAAGTGTGGATCCAAAGGAATACATCACCCATTTGGAGCGGCTGGTACAAGAGGATATTGATGGTATCTGGCGACAAATCTCAATTATCGATTCCATTGGACGAGCAAAACTGATTCGGGACTGTGGAGGAGACGCATTGGTTGATTTCGTGACTGGATCTCGAAATGTGGCCAAGCTACTGACAAGCATGCGAAGATCACTTCGAAGCGCGAGCGGGCATCTGGAATGTGACACACTGTATCCAATCTATTCGCAAACAGTTCATGAAGATCTCTGTACAAACACTGCATTAGCTTCATCATACGGGTTCATCTTGTTTCTCATTCTGGCCATTACAACATCAGTGGCGATCACATTACGGGCATCATGGCTGCAAAGTATTGGCGAAGAAGAAAAGGTTTTCGAAGACGAGGACGATATTGCAGAGAATATGGTCGTCGATGAGCACGAGGAGTACCTCAGCTACATATCGCAGTACAAACATGAATGGCAAGATTACGATGGAATCGATAATAGTGCGGCATCGCCGCGAGAACATAGAGATCGATACTACAGTACTCACGAGCCATCACCACGCTACGCTTCTGACCATGACGACGAATACTATGAAGATGAGACTGGTCGGGAGGCAGAAGGATTCCGAACTGATGCTGAAGGATACCAGGGATCAGACGAGTGCTCAGAATTTTCGACCCCAATTGATGAAAACGCTATCGAGCAAGTAGTTTGCCCAGCGGAAATGGCTGCTCCCGTGACCATGTCACCATATGATGATGTTTACTATAACCCAATTGATGCCAACAGCTACGGAGAATCTGAAGTCCTGGACGTTCCTCAACCAATGCCTCCCCCTCTAGCAAATTTCGAATACAAACAAAGTCGAGCACAGAAAATCAGAAATCATGCTTCTGCCCCATCAAGTGCCCATGCTATGGATCATCGTGGACGAAGAGAGCCTGAGGGCCAATACGCCCAGAAAGGAGATTCGTTGCAGACCGAGATTGAAGTCACTAGTCCCGGAGAAGAGGAGATTACGCTGCATTCGCGGGCCGTCTCTGATATAAGTTCAGTGACCATGGATTTCTTGAAAGAAAGCGATCCGTAGACCAAGATGGTCACACGGATGCGGTAACCACTATTTCTGAAAGAACGCCATAGGTACGATCGTATTCATTCATCCACCGAGTGTTAAAGGAGGTGAATGTTGATGTTATTTGTATGATGACAACGAACAACGAATCGGAAAAGGTTTGCCATGGTAACAAGTTCATATTGTATACAGAAAGAGGTCATAAAGAAGGAAGGACGAATCCAATGAAGGCTCAGTCTCATTGAGATTGGCAGCTGCTTCTTCATTCATCATTCATCTTGTTGTTTCATAAAATTCATATGTAATTTATTTATATTTCACAAGTTCTTGTATTCATTCAATCTTTCGCTGTAAGTTTGGCATGCATATGTTGCATTAGAACGAAAGTTGCGACCGCGGCACAAAGAGCGACAGCAAAATACATCGCTCCTAGTCGGTCAAACGGAAGCGCTGTTCTCCTTCTGGCTAATACTACTGCTGATGAAGGCTGTTCCTGGACTTCTATCTCTCTTACTGGCGATGGAGGCGGGTATTTATTCGCTCTAGCCTGACCTTCTTCCAGAACGTGCAAGGCGATTATGCTATCAAATTGGTCGATGTCGTCGTCAGTACTATCCGTACTAATGGTATGATCTTCCTCTTTCTTGGTGTTGGGGGTGCTGTTTTCCAATCCTGGGATCTCTTCATTCCAATCCATGTAGTCTATGCTCGAAGTACCCTTTTTTGGCGACTCCTTTGCCATTGCTCGTGTCGTTGATGTGCTTGATATGTGACGCAGTCTGAGTTGGAATTTTGTGAAACTTGCTTCCGCAAAGTTGCAGGGTGGGTGGGTTTCGTTCTTTTGCGAAACATGATGGGTCGTGGTTGGAAGGAGATTCGGAGTAAGTGAGTACAGCAGTCTTTTGAGTCCATCACGGAATCGCAATCTTCATGGCATGGACATCCGCACCAGCATGGCACCCTCATGTAAAAAGCTCTGCTCCGACCGCACAATACCAGTATATATACACCTACAGTCTTCAGCAATGATAAGGGGCGTATTGATTGATTTGTCCGGCACTCTTCATGTGGGTGGCAAGGTCATCCCAGGTGCTGTGGAGAGTCTGAAACGACTTCGTGATTCTGGCAAGAGAGTTCGCTTTCTGACCAACACCTCCACAAAGTCAACCTCTCGCTTGTGGCAAGAAGTCTTGGACATGGGACTTTGTGAGACTACTTCACAGGGTCAAATGGAAGATATGCTACTGACGAGCGTTCTGGCCACCAAACAATATTTGATGAAACATCAAAAGAGACCGCTTTGCCTGATGGAGGATGTCTCCGACTTTGAAGGAAGTGTCAACCTTTCGCCTCCTCATGATTGCGTGGTGGTGGGTTTGGCTCCAACAAAACTAAACTACGAAAATTTAAATCAGGCTTTTCGGGTCCTACTGAAGAATGACTCGAAATCAAAAGGTCCCACCAACAATAATAAGTTGATTGCGATTCACCGTGGCAATTTCTTGCGGGATGCCGATGCCGAATTGAGTCTGGGTCCGGGTGGTTTTGTCACTGCTTTGGAAGCCGCTACTTCTTCAAGTAGTGATAAAACGGTCGTCATGGGGAAACCATCAACCGAATTCTACCAGAGCGCCATGTGGCCTGATTTCAGACCAGATGAGATTTGTATGATTGGCGATGATATTTTGGGAGACATCCAAGGGGCCCAAACGAGTGGGATTGGTACAACAATCCTAGTTCGAACCGGCAAGTATCGAGCTGATGACGAAACAAAGATTGAGACTCCACCAACAAGAGTCTGCAACTCGATTATCCAAGCCGTTGATTTCATTTTGGAATCTGAGAAAACAAAATGATAAAGGGAAAGCTGATCCGTACCTTAGGTTTGAATGGTTACATTCTACTATTTCTGTTATGTACTATATGTACGGTCTTGGAGCTACATTGAAGAAAAAAAACACCAATCATGATTGACGGTGATTTTGTTGCATTGGATTTTTAGTAGCAGAGAGTGCAGCATCTGCATTCAATGTCACCCGACTTGCAATCGGTTCGAAAGTCTAGTTGCGCCGCTGGCAAACCGCAAAGCTCATTGGGGATGGCTCCCTGAAATTGGTTGCCGTGCAACCAAATCTTTTCCAAATTCCAATTGGTGGCCAACTCTTTTTCAATGCTACCAGTGAAATGATTGTCCGCCAATTGAAGCCAGACCAAGTTCTTGAGGGATGCCAACGCCTTTGTTGGCAGCGGACCGCTGAGCGAGCCATGGACCACGTTGAGAACGTGCAAATTCTTCAATTTGCCAATGGAAGGAGACAGAGGACCTTCAAACTGATGATGAACCGCCACAAGCCATTGCAATTTAGACAATTCAAAGAATTCGTCCGGAAGGGTTCCATTGAGTTGGGTCAATCCCATACTTATTTCTTCGAGAGAAGAGAGCAGGCCAATCTGGGTGGGCAATTCTCCCTCCAATTGGGTTTGAGCAATGGACAAGGATTGCAGTTTGGTGAGATATCCAATGGAAGTCGGAATGCTTCCATTGATTCGAGTGTTGTCGACCATGTCCAAGTACTCCAAGTTGTTGTTGACAGCAAAGTCCGGCAAGGATCCAGACCAGCGATTATGAGACAATTTGGCAGATTCCAAGGACAATGGAAAGCTGGGCAAGGATCCTTCAAAGCGGTTATGTTCGAGACTGAGAAAGAGCAAATTGGGTGGAAGCGATTTGACCAATCCTCCCATGTGATTTGCTCCCAGATCCAAGTATTGCAATTTGGGCAATGCCAAGAGTCCTTCGGGAATGGCACCATCCAGTTTGTTTTCTTGCAAATTCAAGTGTTCCAAATGAGGCAACCATCCCATTTCCATTGGCAAGTACCCAATCATGGCAGTCCGGACCAGTTCAATCTTGATGACTTGATCCCGGGCATTGCAAGTAATGCCAGGAAATTGGCATTCGCTGACACCCGCCTTGAGCCACTCGTGCTCCCCGTCTTGGTACAATTGAATGTTGGAGGCGTAAAACAAAGTGGCCAGAGCAAATCGCTGTTGAATGGCAGCCACATCTTGCAGCTGGTCGACCAAGAATTGATCATCCCGGAATCCCATCCATTCCATGGCCAAATACTGAGGAGACATGGGATCGTTCCACATGGTGGTGTCGTTGTTGTTCAAGAATATCTTGCCAATGTAAGGGTCGTTTCGGGTGGAAGGTTCCAAGACGGATTCCAGTGCCTTGTAGTACGCCGATGGCTTCATCATAATGGTAGATGGGTCGGTGGAATTGAAAGTAATTGGACCTTCTTGGCTGCTGTTGCTTGTGTCGTTGGCAATTAGAATGGTAGTCATGGTTGCCATGATGAGACCAAGAACCAATAGAATGTGGCACTTTTTGGCAGGTACGGAACCCAACGAAATGCCGGCAATCGCAAACTTGTAAAACTTGGGAGGAATTCGATGACCGTCAATGGGAAGAACAACGTCGTCGGTCAAGATTGGCACACATGCGACTCGAGCATCCATCATCATGAAACTTTCTTCATCATTCTCGTTGTCTTCCAAATGATCCATTCCCACATGCTGATGATGATGGTGGTGGTGATGAGGCGAACTACCAGCACCACTATCACAACGATGATGAGGTGAAATGGCAGTGGCACCAGGAGAAGGTGGTTGATGGAAATTGCGGAGCTCCAGGCCAGTGGTTGGATCATCGTCGTCAATGAGGGATAAGTGTTGTTTCTTTTTCGGGGCGGAAGACTTGTTCATGCTGGAAATGATGGAGTGGAATCAATCAAGAACAATTCTGTTCTGTTGTGTTGCCGCTGTCAGGATTGCTTCTGTATTGGTAGCTAGTACTAGTAGTAGCAAACAAGTGCTGTTGACTTCTTGATAGCCAATTTGTGTGTTGTGATGATGCCTTGATGAAAACTTGGATTAGAGATTGTCTTTGTTCCTCCTTGAGGGTTTGACAAAATAGTTTGCAAACTGCTGCTGCTGACAACTTTCTGTATTCCCGCGGGGTTTGGTGTGGGATTTGCAAGGTTTATTTGTGAGCTGTTTTCAATATTTGAATTGGTTTGGGAGAGCAACGACTACTTCGACCAGACCATGATCGAGAGTAAATTGACTACTTCGACCGCTTCCATCCCCCAAGATTTTTTCATGTTGACACAATAAATCGATCATATACACATACTCAATATCCATCACCGTAACACAGCAGCTTACATGCAACAAAAGCAAGATGCTTCTGAATCGTAAAAGCTTACTGTCGAAAGCAACCTTTGCCTTGACATCCCTATTGACCAGCACCACTTTTCAATCCAGCAGCTGTAGCAGCACTGCCTCGGCGGCTCCCACTCCTCAATCTGCCAATGCTGCTGCTGCTGCTGTTGTTGTTGCCAATGGAGCAGTAGACCAGGATCCCTTGCTTTTACGGGTGGCACGAGGAGAAGCCATAGCCGATGATTCGTCACCTCCACCAGTATGGATGATGCGTCAAGCGGGACGTCACATGAAGGCTTACCGAGATTTGGTCCACGACTATCCCACCTTTCGACAACGATCCGAGATTCCAAGGGTGGCGCTGGAAATTTCCCTACAACCATTCAAGGCCTACAACGTGGACGGAATTATTTTGTTTTCAGACATTTTGACGCCCTTGCCCCAAATGGGAATTCAATTTAAAATTGGAGAGTCGGGAACGATTGAAATTGAAACCCCCTTGCTCGATTGCGAATCCGTATTCCAATCGGGGAAATTGAAACGATGCCCTGACTATGACGATTGCGTAGCGGGGACCGTGCTCCAGCACATTCAACAGCATTTGAAGGACACTAACAAAACGGCGACTGTTTTGGGGTTCATTGGCCTTCCATATACCTTGGCCACCTATCTAGTGGAGGGCAAGACCGCAGCCTCCTCGGGGTTTGCCAAAATGACCCAACTGGTACGGGAAAGAGACTTGCCAAAGGTGCAGTGGTTGCACGACATGCTAACATTACTGGCCGATAACTTGGCGGACTATGCTTGTTTTCAAATTGAAAGCGGGGCACAAGTGATTCAAGTATTTGATTCCTGGGCTGGACATTTGAACCACAAGGAGTACCAGAGGTTCGCCTTGCCCTATCAACAACGTGTGATTGCTCGAATACACAAGAGATATCCAGATACACCCATTATCATTTACATGGCACCAGCAAAGTATTCCAAGAATGGGCAACGTCTAAAGTTACTTGCACAGTCTGGTGCCAATGTGGTTTCGGTAGACCATACTGTAAGCCTCAAGAAAGCCATCAAAATCCTTCGAAAATATCCCAACGTCAAGGCTGTCCAAGGAAACTTGGATCCCAAACTCCTGAGAGACGCATCTTTGGAGGATATCCGAAAGGCGACTCAAAAGCTCATTGCCCAAGCAAAAGCAATGAAAATGCCTCACATTGTCAATCTTGGACACGGGATTCTACCAGATACGCCGGAGGAAAAGGCGGCTGCCTTCGTGCAGGCGGTGCATTCCTATCCCCCACCTCTGTAGAACATCATAGATGTTGAAACGTGCGTTGTTGCATGCGCCACAGCTCGGGAAGCACATCAGTTGGACTGTTCGGTCTTTTTTCGAACGAAGAAACACATGGCGTCAACACGTGCTTTTTCGCCATAATTTTACCACGGGTATTCGCGAATGTTATATTGCGGAGAAACTTCTGCGCACCTTGACACGCCACAGTTTCTGGAAAAAAACATTATCCAACCGTCACACTTTCCGAACTCCCGTCACTTCCTGCTCTCACAATTCTCCAAAATACCAAAAGCGTATTCACACAAGCTCAACTACAAACTACACTATCAACATGGCCAAGTTCTCCCTCCTCATTCTCGCCATCATCGCCTCCTCGGTTTCTGCTCAAAAGCCCAAGCGACTTCGACAACTTCAAACAATGTCCCCCGTGGCCGTGATGATTCCCGTCGCTGTCCCCACCACTTCTTCCAGTAGTAGCAGCAAGAGCGGCAAGGGCAGCAGTAGTAGCAGCAGCAGTGGCAAGGGAAGCAAGAGACAACTTGTTCACTACAAAGCCGAGTATGAGAAGTAAAAGCTACGTTGTTGTTGGTCAGTCGGTCGGTCGGTTTCGAATCATTTCAAACCCAAATCATTTGATCCGTTTGGTTGGTCAGACTACGGGTAGTCTTACATCTATCCGAGCTCCTTGTGATATGAACCAGAAGAGAATTTGGAATTCTCCATTCTTACCATGTCACCTGTGGCTTTTTGCAATGCTTGTTCAAATACGATATTATTAAAAATTGTGCTAGTAAACCATCTTTGAGACACTTATTATTATGCTATGATAGACCTGCAACTTTGATCAGATCAATGCTATCTTCCGATTCGGATTTTGTCTTGGCCCTAATAGTTGCGACGAATACATTTGAAAATGACAAAAAGAAGATGCTATTATTCCGTAGTAGTACCATGTACCGTACTCAACGCACTAGAGAAGAGATCCGTATAGTAGCACCACGTGTTCCAAACACGCACTGCTGCATGCCCCACAGTTTGGGGAGCGCATCCTTCCGTTGGACTGTTGGGTCTTCTTTTCAAATGAAGACAACATGGCGTCAACACGTGCTTTGTCGCTATATTTTTACCACGGGTGTTCGCGAATGTTATTGCGCAGAAAACCGGCGAAACAATTTGGTGCACCTTGACACGCCACAGTTTCTGGAAAAAACATTATCCAACCGTCACACTTTCCGAGCTCCGTCACTTCCGGCTCTCACAATTCTCCAAAATACCAAAAGCGTATTCACACAAGCTCAACTACAAACTACACTATCAACATGGCCAAGTTCTCCCTCCTCATTCTCGCCATCATCGCCATCATCGCCTCCTCGGTTTCTGCTCAAAAGCCCAAGCGACTTCGACAACTTCAAACAATGTCCCCCGTGGCCGTGATGATGACTCCCGTCGCTGTCCCCACCACTTCTTCCAGTAGTAGCAGCAAGAGCGGCAAGGGCAGCAGTAGTAGCAGCAGCAGTGGCAAGGGAAGCAAGAGACAACTTGTTCACTACAAAGCCGAGTACGAGAAGTAAAAGCTACGTTGTTGTTGGTCAGTCGGTTGGTCGGTTTCGAATCATTTCAAACCCAAATCATTTGATCCGTTTGGTTGGTCAGACTACGGGTAGTCTTACATCTATCCGAGCTCCTTGTGATATAAACCAGAAGAGAATTTGGAATTCTCCGTTCTTACCATGTCACCTGTGGCTTTTTGCAATGCTTGTTCAGATACGATATTATTTAAAATTGTGCTAGTAAACCATCTTTGAGACACTTATTATTATGCTATGATAGACCTGCAACTTTGATCAGATCAATGCTATCTTCCGATTCGGATTTTGTCTTGGCCCTAATAGTTGCGACGAATACATTTGAAAATGACAAAAAGAAGATGCTATTATTCCGTAGTAGTACCATGTACATTTACCGTACTCAACGCACTAGAGAAGAGATCCGTATAGTAGCACCACGTGTTCCAAACACGCACTGCTGCATGCCCCACAGTTTGAGTAGCGCATCCATCCGTTGGACTGTTGGGTCTTCTTTTCAAATGAAGACAACATGGCGTCAACACGTGCTTGTCGCCATATTTTTACCACGGGTGTTCGCGAATGTTATATATTGAACATTGCGGAAAAACTTCTGCGCACCTCGACACGCCACAGTTTCTGGAAAAAAACATTATCCAACCGTCACACTTTCCGAACTCCCGTCACTTCCTGCTCTCACAATTCTCCAAAATACCAAAAGCGTATTCACACAAGCTCAACTACAAACTACACTATCAACATGACCAAGTTCTCCCTCCTCATTCTCGCCATCATCGCCATCATCGCCACCTCTGTCTCTGCTCAAAAGCCCAAGCGACTTCGACAACTTCAAACAATGTCCCCCGTGGCCGTGATGATGACTCCCGTCGCTGTCCCTACCACTTCTTCAAGTGGTAGCAGCAAGAGCGGCAAGGGCAGCAGTAGTAGTAGCAGCAGCAGCAGCAGTGGCAAGGGAAGCAAGAGACAACTTGTTCACTACAAAGCCGAGTACGAGAAGTAGGATCAGAGATAGCACTTCAATCTTCCATCGTAAAATAAAGATGTAATTGTGAAATAATCTATAATATATTAATAGTAGCAAAGAATTAGTTTTAAACAGCCAAAGTGTTCAAAATGATTTGGTAGATATTACGATTGTTGGTCCTAAAAAGTCTTTGTCATTGCTCTATTAGATTAGAATTTGTACAGTCCTCCTACCCCTACAATGCCGTTGAATAGGTATGTATTGTTGAGTGGTATGTATTGACCCGTAATGATTTTGACAGCCTCTTGGGAGGCGACTCCGCCAACGACCGAAGCTACATTGTGAAGTTCCGCATTGGCATATCGAGTCAATTCGTGACAAATATCTCCCTGATTCGACTTCACCAAGCCCTCGTCGGCCAAGCCATAGTGCAAGGCCACGGCCTTGTATTCCTCTTCCAACAGAGGGGCATCGGCCTCCCAAGATTCATCATCCTTCATACCCGGATAGCGTCCTTGCTTTTTGAAAAACGCATGACACGCCCGGAGTCCCAAATACCACAATAGTGGAGTATGGGCTTCCACCTCGTACGGATCCATCAAGCTCATTTTCAAATCGTCCATGGTTTCTTCATCGGGTTGGGACGTTAGTTCTTCCACCAAACTACGAGTGCTCATTTGGGTGACAGAAAAGACATTGGCGCAAAAGCTTTGAATAGCATCTTCTGGTAAGTCCTGACATAAATCCTTCATTTCCTGCAAGTCTTGTTCGGCTTGGGTCTTGTAAATTGATTGCAGTTTGACATAGTGATTGGTGGAGGCAGTCATGTCCGGAATTGCCCCATTCAATGGCAGACGGCCGTCGTGCTTCTCGCGAAAGGTATCAAGAGCCTGAAACAATTTGGCCAACATGCTAGAATCATCACCACCCACCAAATCTTCTGGGAGAAAGACCTCCCGCTCTGTATAGGCCAAATAGGCGTGTTGAATGGCCTCTTCAAAATTGACCTCCTTGTGAATATCTCTACTCATGTTCTTGATGGAGTCCTTGAATTCATTCTTTTCGGGAAAAGTTTTTGGATCTTGTCCCCCATGCGAGGCCCGCCACGCTTCAATGGCCTTGCGCAATACGATGGGGTACGGAACATGACCATGTTCGTGGGATTCTAATTTGCTCAAATCGCCAATCGACTGAACAAATTCATCGAGGGCTGGAAAACTCTTTTTGAGTCTTAGGTCAGGCGGTGCATTGGCTGGTTTGGGATCCAAGAGAGGGACCTTGCCCGACAGTTGCAATTTGACGCATCCCATAAGTCCGTAGGATTGGACCATGACCAAGGGCAACTGTAAACTACTGCATTGGGCCGACAAAGTTTCCAAGACTAGTGGGTCCAAATCGCTGGCAATGACTAGCAACTTTTGCCTAGAATTGGTTTCCTTGTACAGAATCTCCTTCCAGTCTTTAATGTCTTGCAGCTTGGGTACGTTCTGAAAGGCTCCGAGTACGTCTGGATTCAATTCTTGCAGATTTTCACAGGCGACTTGCGCTCTTGCTTTTTTGCCAATCGTAGGTTCTTCTTGACAAGTAGAAGTCACAAAGAAATTGCTGGCTACATCTTCCTTGCTCACTAAGACATCGTCAATGACGCAAAAGGAACCAATCCCGGGCAAGACCAAGTTTTTGAGAGTCTCAGTTCCCGCCGCAGTGCCTCCAATCAGAACCACGCAAGTATCTCCCAAGGCACGTTGACCCTTGGCACCCCATAGACGGAGTTGTCGATCGTACTTGTCGTTTGTGGCCATGGTTTTATTATTTTGGTTTGGAAAGCTGAAAGCGTGATGCTATCGTTGTTTTAAGGTATGATGATGATGATTATGATGCACGTTCCAACAAGAAAAAATAAGATCTTGCGTTGAATGCACGCTTCTTTGGTGGGTCTGTTGAGTCGATCGAAAGGCTTCGATGGGATATTGAGGGAGGGGTGCCCCGAATGATGATGTTGTCGGGGAAAATTGGGCATGGGAAAGTCCCATTTATTGGATATTATTGCACCTCAACTCAATAATGCACTACAGCATATATCGGACCCATGGATACAAAGCTCGTTATTGCGCCCTTGGACGTATACTGTAGTTGAAAAAGATGGAGATAAATGAGTACTGCTACCAACGAGACGAGGGAGAAAGAATCAGGATCCCCTCATCTGTGAATGTGATTCACAGATATTCCTTTGCGAGATGCCAAATGATCTTGGTAGAAGCAATTCTGTCAGCAACGTCCATCGCAGAGATTCCCAGCTATGGGTTCCACATCTGTGTCTCGCTGCAAACTGTGGCCCTACCCAGTTCGGTGGAACTTATTGATTTTGGTGCATTCTCTGGGTGTATTTCCTTGGTGACAGTGATGATTCCTCTGAATGCAAAACCGATCAAGATTTCAGGCCAAGCCTTCTCTCGCTGTAGTGCTCTTGCAAACCTTGTTCTTCCAAAAGGGTCCAGAGCCAGAACTTCAATGACATCGGCTTCCTTTCCAGAATGTACCTTATTGCACAATCGCTTTGGTGATGGTGATGGTGAAGTACCAGCAGATGGGATTGTTGCCGGTTTGGTACACCGGTTTGACAACTCCCCCGTCCACAAAATATGTTACTACCACCATCATAATTCCTCTACTACTACTACTACTACAAAAATAGTAATAGGATCTTATGTAATTATCCAAGAAAAGGCCTTCAAAAATAGTAATAGGATCTTATGTAATTATCCAAGAAAAGGCCAGTCTTGACCGAAGCTAATTGGGATGAATAGCTTTCGCCGGAGCTTCGTCAGCGGCAAGACAAGTGGCAAGAGGCAAGAGATTGGTCTTTTCATTTTTGAATTTCAGCGATTTCGCCAAAATCGAGCTGGACACACAGATTGCGACTATTTTTGTTTTTGTAACGGTGTCATAGTCGCGTGTTTTTCGACAGTGATTGTGTCACAAATTCTTATATGATCGTCAGTTGGGCTCTGCATTTGTGAAAGAATGTAAAAGTTCAGCTTGAATAGTTGAGACTTGCCGAGCAGTTGGGCATTTTGCTTCAACATGACGAGGAAATAGGAGATTCTTCAGATTGGGGGCACGACTGTACGCAACAATAAGTCGCTTAATAGGAATGAGAGCTTTTTTGTTGTTGTGGAGTTTGTATAAATATGGTTCAAACTTTTCTTTTAGGACCACAGGTGTATCTTTTCAAATAAAGGCATCCCAGCCAATCCATGAAAAAGTTCTGTGCCAAGCTTGGCTATGATCACAAGCTTGACCAAACAATCGGTGTTTTGTTTGTGGGCGGAGCATGTGTGCATGAAAGGCCTGTTGAAGTGAGATGTAGGAGGATGTAGTTGCGCGTTGAATCTTTTGATTTCTTTTCCCATGGCTTTGAAAATTGAATGAGAGATTTGTAATGCCGTCGTAAATTCATCACCATCGGGCGTTTGCCAATTTCCGTATCAATTGCCGTCCTGTTCAGTTGTAGAAACAATGCAGTAACCTTGGTTTGCAGGTTATGTAGTTTCATCGCCTCCAAGTGTACTGCTCTCCCCTCATGTTTGTTGTATGCTGCGTATGCTTTCTTCAGCATGCGTTCAAACATGGCCCAGTTCATCGTCGGCTTTTCTCCCACGTAGCATAGGTTCTTGATGGTGTGTTTGGCCTCGGCGATGTTGTGGGCTAGGAGTCCTTCTCCTTTGTAGTGGGTGCTTAGGGCGATTCATGCATCTCTATTGTTGCCTTCAACATCAATGGCTCGTATCAGGCATCAATCAAATTTGCCCTTGTGCAGCAGTCATTCCTGCTAGGGTTTTGAGTTCATCGTTAAGTTTGTCAATGGATACAGTTGGAAGTAGTATTTTTGGAGCTGGCGGACAACGTACGGACGGCGAGAATATGACCAAAATGACCAGACCAACGGTGACATGGGCAGACCGCGTTCGCGGTTTCGCAGGTGGGATTGCCAGACCAGAGTCGCTTGGTCCCGCACATAAGAAAAAACTAGTAAATAGGTAAATCGAAGTAGCCACTGGATTGTATGAGCTGCAATGCTCATTCAATCCAGGTAACAACAAATAGATACTGGAATTAACATTCAAACAAAAGTCCTTTTATCTTTTTTAGACTAGAGGCATAGGCCTGTCTGTGTATTATAGCCCTCTCAGTAGGAGAGCTATACAGCCAGAAATTGGCCTCCAACATTACCTGGATTGAAAACAGGTTTTGTTGACGAACCAACGGTTGGTTACCTACTCTGCCCACGGGCACAGTCAATCGTAAACAGCACTGCTCGCGGACTAACCATCCATAGGGACCTGGCTGGATCCAGTACCTTTCAGGGCGCAAGCCTAAGAGCATTACAGTGCGGCGGACGAGGCGAAGGAACAGCGCGCCGGAGCCATCCGTTTTAGTGACACTTTTATTTCGTCTTGACGTTTATTTCTCTCATCAGACAAACCCGTCGGAATATGACTGCCGCTCAGACTTCCACAGCTGGCACGAGCGGAGGCAATGATCAGCCCAGGCGTGGAGCCGCGAACAATGCGGGCAGAAACGACAATAAGAAGAGAAAGGAGATTTTCAAGGGAGATATTGAAGAGATGGGTGGTGCGGTGCTCCAGTTCCCAGACGAAAGGAATCGAGGATCCGCCGCCCAATATGAACGATTTTACATGGCGTTGAAGGACTATATTGGCCGGGAGGTTTCAGTGGGTGCTGCCAAGTTATGGGCCAAGACCTACGTGAAGGAGATGGACCCTTCTTGGGAACCTCCAGTTCCCATCGAGCCTACAACCAACAAGAATGATGTGAAGGCTTTGCTACTCTATGAATCTGAAAAAGCAGCCTACGTCAAACACATTGGAGCTACTTGGCCCGCTGCCAAGCTGGAGATCTGGAGCACCATCATGGCCCAGTGCTCTCCCAAGCTACGCGCACACCTGCAGCAGTTGCCTTTCTACGACAAGGCCGAAAGCACCCACGATTGCATCGCGCTACTTGAAAATGCGAATGTTCTATGTGGAGGAGGCAACCTATTGGCTTTCCAGCCCCAAGCAAGAGCGGAGGCGCTCCTAGACCTAGTGCAATACAAGCAGCTCAACGGCACACTAGACGACTACTACAACGATTTCAAGGCACGGTACGCTACGTTCAGCAGTCTTGGAGGAGATCTGACAACGAAAGAGGACACCTGGACGACTGCGAACGGCACGAAGGCATCAACCAACCAAGCATTGTTGGTGTGTCTGTTCTTGGCCAATGCCGACAGGAAGCGATTCGGAGATTGTGTGACGGATTTGCGAAACGACGCGTCGTCGAAACTAGTTCGCTATCCCGAAACACTTGCGGACGCATACACGATGCTTGGAGAATATGTTCGGAAGCACAAGAAAAATAGCAATAACAATAATAGCGATGAATTGAATGCCTATTTGGAAATAGATCATAGTCGTCCGGAGAACGAAATTTGTTTGACGAGTACGAAATATGAGTGGTTGATCGACTTGGCGTGGATCCTACTGGATACGGCGAGCACAGTTACGATTTTCTGCAATGCTCTCTACCTACGAGGAATGCGACAAGCACGACACCCGACGACTATTCATACATCTGGAGGAACGATCACGGCAACATTGGAAGGATACTTGCCTTTCCTTCGCAAATGGGTTGCATTTCATCCAGATTGCCTCGCAAACATCATTTCGTTCCGGGACCTCCTTGATGCGCACCATGTGACATTGAACTCTCGTCAGTCACGTAGCTTCACGGTGCATTGCCTACGCAATGGTACTGGTCGAACGCGCAGAAAGGTGCATTTCCGCCCCTCCGGGACCGGACTATTCTATTTCGATCCAGAAGGCGACTTAAGCGAGACTTTTAAGCGTTTCCCCGAGAGCGTGAAGCGTTTGTCGAGCATCGAACGCTCGACACACGAAATACTTAATGCCACGGTAGATGAGAATCTAAAAGCTTTTTCTGCACGTCAACAACTGCGAATTGCGAAGGCTCGCGAGGTCTATGCTGATGTAGGGCGACCATCCTTTGCGAACTTCCTGCGCATGCTCAAGTATCGTCAGATACCGGACGTGCCAATAACAGAAGAAGATGCGAAGAACATGATCCGCGCATATGGGCCTGACGTCCATGCACTCCGCGGGAAAACTGTTCGCAGACGACCCAGTGCCGTTCCATCCGGGAGGCGAATTTTGCCACCGGACTCCATACTTAGAGCTAATAGCCAGGTCATTATGTGTGCCGATATCTTCTTCGTCGATAGCATCCCGTTCTTATTGGCCGTATCGCGGAATCTACGTCACGTGTTCGTTGACGTTCTGCAATCTCGCGCCATGGTGAACCAGGTTCTCCCTCTACTTATGAAGTGTTTCAACAAATATGGGCTCCAGGGCTTCACTGTCCGCACTCTGCACGCTGATCCCGAGTTTGAGCCACTACGTGACGAATTAGCCAAGCCTGAACACGGTTCTGTGGACGTACATATATGTGCTCCGGGAGCACATGTTCCCGAAGCCGAACGCAACATTCGCACCGTCAAGGAGCGTGATCGCGCCACGGTTGCAAGTCTTCCCTTCCAATATTATCCAAGGGCGCTAAAAATAGCTATCGTTAAGGAATCTGCCAGATACATAAACATTCTCCCTCACGCTGATGGCGTGTCGGAGGTTTTTAGTCCCTTTGCTCTACTTGAGGGCCAGCACACGAACTACGAGAAGCACTGTAAGCTTCGCGTCGGGACGTACTGCGAAGTCCACGACGAGCCTGATCCCACGAACACAGAGACCGTCCGCACGACCTCAGGGATTGCTCTTACCCCTACCCCGAATTTCGATGGTACCTGGGAGTTCCTCTCCCTCCAAACCGGTCGCACCGTCGTCCGTCGTGCATGGACTGTCCTTCCAACAACCACGGACGTTATCCGTCGTGTCCACGAGCTTAGCAATTCCGACGCAGATGCAGATCCAGATGCTTTCCTCCATGAGTGGCGGCCGAACGTTCCCATCCTCGATTTGGATGATGACCAGGTTGATGTCGCGTTGCTCCCTCCCCCTGGAGGAGCGGTCCCCCAAAACGACGACCAAGACGATTCGTCCGCCTCTTCCGACGACGACCAAGCCGATTCGTCCGAAGACAGCAGAGCTGGTGACGACAGTGAGGATGATGATGACAGTGAGGATGACAATGATTATAACAGTGATGACGACGACGACGATGATGATGACGGCAGCGACGCCCTAGAACAACAAAATAATAGTGACGAAGGTGCTCAAGAAGAGCACGCAGAAGAACAGCATGAAAATGAGACTGCGCTTTTGGTGGCGGATTTGGAGGACGCAAACGACCTTAACGAGTCAACACAGCTACTGCAGGCCCCATTGACATCGTTGCGTAACGATAACGATACCGACGAGAACAACACCGAAGCTACCGTCACAGAGCGCATGCAACGCGCAATCAACCGCGCAGCCGCCATAGAGCGCATGAACAATCGTTTTAATCAAACAGGGCGGTACGTAGAAGCTCTCGAGGAGTCTCCCCTATCCCCTGAAGAAGAAGTAGGAGCGCAAGACTCTGAAAAAGCAGGAGCGGATGAAGTTGAACCAAGTGAAGAAACAGGAGCGCAATATCTAGAAGATGAACCAAGTGAAGAAACAGGAGCGCAGTATCCAGAAGAAGAGGTCACATTCGTTCCTCCAGAAGAGCAACCCCTGTTCCATGATGAAACGGAGGGACAATTAGAAAATGATAGCCTTAACATTAGCGACTCATCATCTTTAGTGTATGAGCGCGATGACGTTGCGCTAGCACACGTGGCCAAAGAACGGCAGTTACTGTGCTGTGTCCCACGACGAATCGGACGCTTTGCGCTAGCAAAATTCCTAGAGAATGCGTATCGCGACGACAGGAAGTACTGGTGGCGTTATGTGCCGGAGAAACTACAAAACACCGCAGACGTGCACCGTTATATGCACCTAATGTTAGGCAACCAAACATTCAACGTGCTCCTAAATCAGATGACAGCAAAATCGGGAATCAAGAAGCATGGTGAGCTGGCAATTGCTGCACTAGTTAAAGAGCTTTCGCACAATCTCCATGAAAAGGACGTCATTGAGGGGAGAATGTTTAACGAATTGACGCAAGAACAGAGAGAAAAGGCCCTACGGGCAATAGCATTAATTAAAGAAAAGCGTGACGGTCGACTAAAGGGTAGAGTAGTTGCGGACGGTCGCCCCCAGCGGGAATGGACGGATCCTGACTCCGTGTATTCGCCGACTGTCTCCTGCGAAGGGATGATACTGTCGCTTGGCATTGATGCGCATGAGAAACGTTTTGTGAGCGTTTGTGACATCGACGGGGCGTACTTACACGCATTCATGGACGAGTTCGTACTTATGGTTTTCGAAGGAGACCTAGCGGACATGCTTGTGAAGGCATGTCCAATGTACGCGAAATATCTCCACGTGACCAAAAGCGGCAAGAAACTCCTCTACGTGCGTTTGAAACGCGCGCTGTACGGGTGCATTAAATCTGCCATGTTGTGGTGGCTCATGTTGTCGGAGTTTCTCATCAAAGATGGATTCGAATTGAACCCTTACGATTCTTGTGTGGCGAACAAGACGCTCTCCTGCGGAACCCAAATCACTATTTGCTGGTACGTGGACGACTTGAAGATTTCGTCGAAGAATGAACAAGCGGTACACGACATAATTAAAAAACTAGAAGATCGTTTCGGAGAAATGCGTAAAAGCTTCGGAAAGAAACACACATATTTAGGAATGGAAGTGGAGTTCTGCGATGATGGTTCCGTGCGACTTAGTGTCCCGGACCACATCAAAGAATGCATCGAAGATTTCAGCGAAGACTTAGGGCGCTCTGTGGCAAACCCAGCAAGCAAGAAACTATTTCACGTGGACCCCGCGGCAGAAAGGCTTTCTGAGCCCAAGCGGAAGCTTCTGCACTCCCTGGTGCAGAAACTACTATGGGTCACGAAGCGATGCAGACCAGACATTATGGTCCCAATCGCATTTCTGACAGGACGGGTGCAAAAGGCCTCTGTAGAAGATTGGGAGAAACTCCGAAGGGTTCTCTCATATTTAAACAACACAATAGACATGCCTCTAACAATCAAGATCGATGATTTAACGATAGTGAAGACATGGGTCGACGTGGCCTTCGCGGTACACGAAGATTTCAAGTCTCACACAGGAAACATGATATCCATGGGCAAAGGCGCTTTGTATGCACGTTCCATGAAACAGAAGCTCAATACAACAAGCACGACGGAGTCGGAAACCGTCGGCGCCAGTGACTGTCTCGGACAAACTATCTGGACTATGAACTTCCTGGAACACCAAGGCATACGTACACGCAGGAGATATTACTATCAAGATAATGAAAGCGCGATGCGTTTAGAAAAGAATGGTAGACAGTCTGCGAGCAAAAGATCGCGACACATAGACATCAGATTTTTCTTTATTAAGGATCGCATTAAGCGAGGTGACATTCACCTGCTCTATTGTCCCACGGAGGACATGCTGGCAGATTTCTTCTCCAAGCCACAACAAGGCAGCTTGTACACACGCTTCCGCGACATGGTAATGGGCATCACGCCAGTACCACCCGTGGAAGATCCTTCCTTGACTTGCCCGACATCTCAGGAGCGAGTTGGAAGTAGTATTTTTGGAGCTGGCGGACAACGTACGGACGGCGAGAATATGACCAAAATGACCAGACCAACGGTGACATGGGCAGACCGCGTTCGCGGTTTCGCAGGTGGGATTGCCAGACCAGAGTCGCTTGGTCCCGCACATAAGAAAAAACTAGTAAATAGGTAAATCGAAGTAGCCACTGGATTGTATGAGCTGCAATGCTCATTCAATCCAGGTAACAACAAATAGATACTGGAATTAACATTCAAACAAAAGTCCTTTTATCTTTTTTAGACTAGAGGCATAGGCCTGTCTGTGTATTATAGCCCTCTCAGTAGGAGAGCTATACAGCCAGAAATTGGCCTCCAACAGATACATCCGTTAAAATCATCAGCAAATATTTCATAAGCAATTCTCTCAGCGTGCGTATGTCCTTGGAATAGGGCTGCATCGTTAATGCCACAGATGACCATATTGCCATGAACAGTGAAGAGGGTTAGGGTTGGCGGCCATGTTGCCTATATCAATGTCATACATTGTATTGTTGGTTATAGTTTTTGTTCTCAGTGTGTTAAAGGCTACAGTTTTTGTTGGTGTTGCGGCACCTATCAAAGCAGTTTTTGTTGCTGTTGCATCACCCATCAAAGCAGTTTTTGTTGGTGTTGCTGCACCCATCAAAGCAGTTTTTGTTGGTGTTGCGGCACCCATCACGGCATTACATCACCAGTTATTGCAGTTTTTGTCTGTGTTGCGGCATCCATTCATTATAACATTTGCCATTGGTGTTGTGTCACCCATCATAGCGTTTGTAGTACGCTCAATGCCGTTTCGTCGTCATTGTAGTTTTCTTTTTTTTTCATTTTCATTTTCATTTCATTTTCATTTTTTGTTCATTGAATAACTTTCAGCAGTTATAGCTGGATCTGATAGACCATGTAAATATCATCGTTACGGCGTTGTGATGTTGTTGATTTACAAAGTAGTAGCTATGATAGACGGTAGACAGTATTGTAATCAAACGTATTCTTAGAAAGAGTGTGTTCACCGTCCATCGACAGCTTTTGTAAGCAGCCGATTCATCCTTACCGCTTACAATTGTACACGTTCATATCAGTACGACGCATCTCGCATCCTATAGCACAGTCACCTTTATTTAATTGTCCTACTTGAAGTACATGCAGTCAAAACTACCAGAAGGCGGAGGAGGATAAAATTATTCCTTGCACTGCCCAATCTGAAACTCCTCCACTACAAAAGATTGACAAAAACACAAGGTCACTCCAGAAGACAAGGAGAACTCAAAAAATGGTTCACTGCGGGCGAGAAGAGGAACGGAAGGACGGAGAACATTTCAAATCATGTAGAGAGATCCGAATGCATTGGGATGTAAATACTTCTCGAGATGCCTTCGATGCCTCCAAACACAAAACGCTTCCATGATAGATGCCCCCTGGTGACGAATGATATCATGATACATCGTCACCATCATCGTATGCAGAATGAAGGAAGTTTTCGACTTCAACTTCCCGAATCATACAAGACTAGAATCACAATAATAGGAAGTGGAAGCAGTAACATGCTATAGAAACAATTTCATATAAACCTGATATCACTAGGCATATTGCCAAACGTAGACGCGCCATGCGGTACAATATATTCCTCCTTTATATTACCATTGATTCATTCAAATTTGGCATCAAAGCACTACGACCCTTATTCTCGATAACGGAACGGAGCCCATCCATGCCCATCAATGGCCATCAATGCTTTAGTCTCTTGCTTAAGGGTGTCTCCTTTCTCTCTGGGAAGGCCGTCCATGGTCGCATGTCAAAGGCGGCTTCCCAATCATCTGGGCGTTTCTTCGGTTCTTCTCCCTCGGCTGTTTTTGATGCCCACTCATCGACAAACTGAATGGCTTCCATCAAACGTTTCTTGTTTTCCTCTGGGCAGTTTGCAAAGTCGGGAGTATAATCCAGAGAAGAAGTGACTGCGACACCCGGCATCCATCCAAATCCGCCACCCATCTTCTTCATGTTTTCCTCCTTGGTCTTGTCAACACTCCAGTTCTTGAGAAAGTTTGCAGTTGGTTCATATCGATCTATGGCAAAGTCCACCATTCCCCATCCTTTGATTAGGTTGTGCAACCAAACCAGAAAAGTGTGATGGGTCTGGTATTTGGACTCGTAGGCATTTGGCACTCCCCGGTGCCAGGTATCCATCCATTCCTGTCCCAATGCATCTACCATGGCTTGATTCAAACGGGTAGTGATCCTTTCTCGACGTTCGGCCAAGTCATTTGGGTTGTCCGCTAAGGCCAGAGACGATAGAATGGGCTGGTCGAGATCACTTGGTCTCGCAGCACCCACCGTGAACGTGTGAGTCGGAGCTTTGTCATCATCAAAGGTCTCGTGTTGCCACAACCAAATGCTTCCATATGTCATGGGTTCCATATCTGGCAAACACAAATCGCGAAGCTTGTTGGATGGCATGTACAATTTACCACCTACATCAGCAAGAAAAAAAGAAACAGAGAGAAGAAATATGACATTGTGAGCACACTGATGGTGTGGATCCATTCGTCCGTTCCTTCACCGCACAAGAACTTCATCTACATTTTTGTAGCCTCCATCATGCACTTACCCTTATCATAGACTGAAATGATAAAGATTCCCATATCTTTCTTGTGGGCCAAGCGGATATTGGAAAGATTTCCCGCTTCTTCTAGATCTCCAGAGGCAGTGTACGACCCGCACCATTGATAATGCAAGTTGACATAGTCAAAGAAGTCAGTTTCAATTGCCTTTTGAATGAGTGCGGCAGGAGCATGAGACGAGAATCCAATGTGTCGAATCTTGCCCTTTTGTTTCAATTCGGTAAGACCTTCGCACGCGTTTCCCTTTGGATTGTCAAAGAGGGCATCGTAGTCGGATTGAAGGTTGAGCCCGTGCACTGCAAAGAGATCAATGTAATCCAATTGCAACAATTTGATGCTTTGCAAGATGGCATCTCGATACGCTGCCGGGGTATTGGTTCCAACTGGAAGCTTGGTTTGAATAATGAGATCCTCACGCTTGATTTCTCCCGAGTCGAAAAGTTGCTTCAAGGCGAAACCGAGCTGCAACTGGGAACTTCCGTATCCCTTGGCCGTCTCGATGTGAGTCACTCCACATTGGAAAGCATAACGAAGAATCTGGACCAAGTTTTCTTGGCACTCGTCTTGTACTTGAGTCATGTCCAATACCGTGTTTGCATCGCCGCGATTCCAAGATTGTTGAAAGCGCATACATCCCAACGTGACAATAGGCATTTGCAATTCCGTCTTGCCGAATCGAACCGTCGGTACCTTTTTGGTCGTCTTTCCCTCGAGAATAGTTGCCAATTGATTGGCTTCTTCTGCCACCAATATCAATGCTGCTTCCAGCTTGGTTGGATCAGCGTTGGTGCCATTCGATCCGTATCGAAGTACGGTCGCAAAGACAATTCGTCCAATTTTGATCAATCGATCTTCTCCTGACTTTTTATCAGAATGTGCTTGCAAGACTGTCAACAAGGACGGAGAAGCCGTTTCCAGAAAGGTTCGAGCGATTGTCGTAATGTCCTCCGTAGTTTCAGAGATTTTACGTTTCTTGAAACTGTCGTTTTCCATTTTGGCGGTTGCCGGTGAAATGGCGGCATTTGCAGCTGCGACCAGAGATGAGGCGGAGGTTGGAATGCTACCGGTAGGAGACATGGTGGTGGTTGCTTGTACGTAGAAGGAATGCAATAGGACGAGAAAGGATAGGAGCAAGGAGATGAAGCTACTCTTCATTCAGGAGCAATCAATCAGATGATCGTATGATGCTCGATGATGGCCACTGATGTTCCAGGAATACCGGCAGTTGCGAATATAATACCGGATGAGAGGGAAATGAAATGAAACGTCAGTGATGGGTTGATTGACTCCTTCGACCAAGACTGTAGCTTCGACTTCAACTTTTATAAAATGAAGAGGAACCACTCTATTCTTTGCAACTTAAACGATAGCGCAAGTAATGGAACATTATAGGTACAGGGTAAGGTCTGCAAATGGTGGGGAAGGCAGACATAACGTGCCGTAAAGGCTTTAAAACGAACTAAGAAGAAATATTTAGTCGACTAAGTCGAGCAGCTGAGTTGGTCGACGGAGTCGAATCAGCTAAGACATTCAGACTGTCGAATGAGTCGGAGCAAAAAGGAACCATTTTTGGTGGTCAAACTGCGACACCGTGCGACATGGAGCTACACGAAAATGTATACTATACTCTTCTTGGACATCTTCTTTGATATAAATGACTTCCAACAATGTGTCTAGTTCTTTGGTGGCCAAATTTGGCGAGTAGTATTTAGAGGTTGAAGGTACTATTTTGGAGCAGTCGGTGTAGTCGATTTCATGTACATTTTTTACTGGATCTACGAATGTACAGTATTGATTTGTATTGTCTGACCAGGAAACGGTTAATTTCTGACACCCAAACACCAAACCCCACCGTACATCTCAGCGTTCACGTGCACAGCCACAAAGTAGTAAGCAAAGCTGCCCTGGGAAAAGAAGACGGGCCACTTTGCAGAAAAACTATGTAGATTTGATTGTTTCTGCTTTGCAAGTACTATATATTACCACTCAAGTGTTGCATATTGGTACCTTCCCCCGTATGAAACCACAACTGTAGGCCGCCAATTCTCTAGCAGAGTCAGTCAGTCAGCAGAGCTGTACCACAATGAACTCGGAACTGAGGCAGTGGGAATTTCCCCTTTTCATTTTATTTCGTCCCCGCAATATTTAACGCGATTTCTCACAACTAGTTGTGGGAACAGCTTTTTGCCAAAAATTCCCACAACTAGTTATAGGAATCTTAAAAAATAGTTGTGGGAAAGTCCTACAACTAGTTGTGGGAAACGTTGTGCAGCTGTCCGTTTTCTTGCCTTAAATGTATCACGAAATATCACGAAAACAATTAGAGTTTTTGGGAAACCAGCAGATAAGACTCTCCCAAATGTTGCGCACGCCTACCTGTGTCCGCAGAGAGCCCAAACTGGGTGAAATTTCCAATGATTTTTCAAAAACAAATTAACCCTTTCAAATCTGAGAGTTTCTCAGATTTGATTATGGTACATTCTACATACGTCAATCAATATTTTGGTCCAATTTTGGATACCTTGGCTTTTCAAATCTGAGAATTTCTCAGATTTAAAAAAAATTGCA